GAGGAGAAGAACTCCTCAGCCAGTGATCAGACATAATGACATAATGCAGACTGCTGACTCTCCGGAGCAGGACCCGGTCCTGATGTAGTCATCAGGTCTGTCAAGTAGTAGTTATCCACCTACCCAGGCACTTGTAGAGGCCCTGGCTTATCCAGGCCAGGATCGCCAAGGTAATGAGGTCACCGAAGCTGGCTGCAATGGGTGTAGCTACGTTGTCCGGGTTGATGCCCGTCTTCTTCGAACCCACAATTACCCCCACCATGATGATGCCTGAGTACGACAACAAGAGGGTGGAGCGCTTTACGAGTGTCATTACAGTACAGGTGACTGTCAGACATCACAGACCTAGTTCATGTAATACCCAAACTGTTTTTCTTTTTAATCTATGACAGATTTTCTAATATGTTGCTACATAAATAATCATGGTTAAAAAACACATTTTGTACATTTATTTAAACAGTCAACAAAACAACTCTCTTTGTTTGCATTAAAAAAAATAATAAAAATGAAGGTATGTTTGAGTGAATGAGGTATTCTAGTATGATAACAATGTAATCATCCACAAATAACAATAAAATTGTTGTTACTTTCATGCTTCTGTTCCAAACTGAATCAAGCAGACATCTTGTTTGTAAATGTGTAATACTGAAAGTGTCTCGTGCATTAACACTCTAAATATTTAGATCACTGAAATATCTGAAAACTGTAGCTGTCAAAATGAGATGCCTGATTCAAGAATATTTACCATCACATGACAGTTAAGTTACACGATTCATGCTTGTTTGCACTGGTACTTGTAGTCACTCGTCTGTAGCTGTGTCCCAGTTCAGAGGCTGCATCCTTTGAAGGACAGAGCCTTAGAGGGATGTAAAGGCTGCATCTGAGTGTTTGTCAAGTGAGACGGTCGAACCCACGACGGACTTCTTGCTCGCGGAGCGCCTAGCAACCCAGACTGTAGAATTTTTATCCCGAGGATAAGACGACATTGTAATTTTATAGGACTGCAATGGATCCCGAAATTGTGATTTTGTTTATCGTATAAGTATGTTGTTTTCTATACTTGACAAACTTGAGGTGTCTGCACTGTACGGTTGTGTTGGACTAAACTGTCCAAAGTGTTCACAGCTTATTTAAATTTGTTAACATTCACACAAACATAAACTGAAAATATTATAAAATTGCCACAATCTCAGAAAAACATAACTCAAACACTAAAGCTGTACAACTGGAAAGTACATGTTTTAAACTGCAGCGGCTCACATCAAAAATGTCACGAAACTTCATCGATTGTTTAAAACAAATTTTGTGTCTGTTGTCTGTTGGTTTTTAACATTTGTGTTGTTAGCTATTGGAGTGAGCTGTAACATTAAAGTATCATCCTCAGCCGCTGATGGATGCATCTTTTCAGTCGGTTATGAGCAGTTAAATTCTATCTGTTGATCTGTCACCGGTGCACAGTGAATCTTGGGATATGTGGGGCTTTGAAGGAGCCACCTGATGCATCCTTTGCAGCCGTGGAAAAAGAAGAAGGAGTCTTCGTGTCTTAATAAAATGGGACAGCCTTCGTCGTGCCGCTGTGACGCATTCAGCCTTCAAATGCAGCCTTCGACGGATGCAGCCTCTGAATTGGGACACGACTACTGCCTTGCTGCAGCTTGTACAAACACATGAGGCTTACTGCTACTACGGGCGTGACCTCATGGAAGGATTCTGGGTCAGGATGGTCTGACATCTCAAACATATGATCTTCACTGACAACTGCCAACTCAACTACATCAACTGAGCGGTTTCCACTTTGGGAATTAAACATCTGCAGCAGTGAATATTGAAATATTGAAGTGCAGTGATAAGAAGTGGAAAATAACACAGTTACAACAAAGACCTCATGGGGTCACTTGAAGATTAAAAAATCATGTGAGATCAGTTAAAATGCAGCTTGAGAAGAGGACAGATGTGACCCAGTCACAGTTTGTTTTAAACCGTGGGACTCAGTGTGAGAGTGTGTGTTTACCCTGTAGCAGGGAGGCTATGAAGGCCGTGGCCACGCTGCTGGAGCACAGCAGAACAGCATGGCTCATCTGAAACTTTCCCTCCGGGATCCAACCAAGAATTACGGCTGCTACAGCCGCCAGAAAACCCACGACGGTGGCCTGGACCTGGAGCACAGACGCAGAGTGGTTGCCAATGTATTTTCAGTGATTAAAGAAAATTGTGAGCACTTAAAAGATTATTAGGAGGTAGGTAGTGCAATAAACACACACAGTTGTGAAACACTGAACATGGTGTCCAGGTATGTTTTCCTTGACATTTCCCGCTGACAGATGTTATTGCCAAACATATGGGAGAGACAGGTCGTCATAACACCGCCATGCTGCATGCGTCAGTGCGTGTTTATCAGTTCAGTGTGGGTAGATAATTACCAGAGTCTGTACTCAAACCTGCACAGTCAGAGATCAATGAAAGCCTGCGTGAACACCCACATGGGTTCACTGCCAGCGGTAATGTGCACATTATAATAGATGCTGTCACACACATAGTGCTACAATAATATTACAGCAGGTTGGTGAGATCAAATAAAACAAAATGTGATTATTTTCATCACTAAAATTGGAAACACACCAGCAAAGGTGCTTAAAAAAGCTGCATTCGTTATAATACTGAAGACAATCAGTACGTACTTGTCATAGCAGAAGACTGACCAAAACTGTGTGTTTACCTGCTTCAGTGCCAGGTTGCCGATGATCAGATTCCACTTCTCTATGGGAGAATCCATCTTGCCCACGTTTACCTGAGTTGGGAGGACAGAGAGAAGGAGAGAAGGACAGAAAAGAATTTTACTATAACTGTGTCGGAGCTCCTTAATGACCTGAAAAGTCTGCACCCCTTTCTATGTCTGGGACCTCAACTTTAGAGGATCCACAGTGTCAAGTGGAGTCAAGGTTTGAGATCCCAGAAGCAGCCACTAACAAAGAACACTGGGCCGCCGGCGTAAGCAATATAAAAGACTCTATGATAAGAAACGCTGTAATCTGGTGACTGTTTAAATATGAAATGGTTATTTTAACAATTCCATGAATTAAAGGTGATTTTGTGTAACCATTGAGTCAAAGCTGCAGAAGTTAAAGATGAGACAAGGGGTGAAAATGTCAAGAGATCAAAAAAGGTCAGTGTCCCTGAAACAGCTCATGTCTAGACATGTGGTATGAGGCCACTGTCTGCGGGAAGGTTGCAGAATGAACCCACTGCTGAAGCAGTTGATGGTTCCTCTTTAACCAGCATGTATCCTGTGAATGCCAGACTGTGCTCTGAGCTATTACCAAATATGTGAATCAGATCCTAAAGGTATCACATACATGGGCTTAATAGGAAGTGCCTGTTAGACATCTGTGTGTGTAAACAAGTGTATGTGCTGAGGATCAAATCTGTGTGGAAGCAGTAAACGTGTGGAGGAGGGAGAGTGGAATACGCTATAAAAAGGCCTGACAAAGAGACTTCAGACGGAGCTCGTGGAGACTGCTCATGATGGAGATCACGGAGTTCTCCACGGGACATGGTTGGAGCTGAACACTCCTCCACCGATTGAAGAAATCCTGATGGGTCTGCAAATTCTACTGAAGAGGAGCAGCTGAACCCCTTTCTGTGTTCTGCATAAAGAAGTGTTCTCTTCTTTCCCCAAATGGATGCAAAAGAACTGCAGAGCTGATCAGAGTTGGGACTTCTCATGTCCCCCTAAGACAGGAGGGTTTTGTCTAAGGATCAGGACTCTGTACTGGGTTGTTGTATTACTGGAAGAGGACTCCTCCAGGCTCAGGTCTGAGCAGGGCTGAGTTAATCAGCTCTCTCCCTCTCCCCAAATGACTTATTAGGTTACTATTTTAGAAAAGCTCAGTTCTATAATTTTATCTCAAATCAATTGGTTTAATGATATTTTGGAACATTTTGAGTGAATAATCAAGAGCTGGAGCTGTGCTCCTGCTAAAGTTTTGTAATAAATATCTGATCATGCAGTTAAAGTTTATTTGGTTTGAATTTCATTAAGATATTCACAGTAACTGATGGTAGTGGAAAGTTAGTCAATTGTGTGCATAAGACCTTATAGTGGTTCTTAGTGGTTATTCTAAGTCGTGAGTAAAACAGTATTTTTTACATATCTCTGGGGTTATTTGTGCCAAACCTCTAAATATTAACCCAGCAATTACCAAGTGTTCGATCCATTAAGAGGGAAGCTGCCACTAACAGGCGTGTCTAGGAGAGTGATTTGACTACTGAGGCTACTTAGTTGAGTCAACTATTGGAAGAAGAGGGGTAGGCGTCTGGATTAAGGCAGTTAGAAGCTAGGCGAGTTTCCTCGACACCAGCTTAAGCAGTTTTACAGAATCCTATTAGGTCAAGGGCCTGTAGGCAGATAGAACCTAACCCTGGAAACGTAGAACTGGACTAGTAGCCCTGTACAGGGTTATATCGGCGCGGATCAATAACAGTCAAGGGGACACGATGTCATAAACCTAAACGGGCCACTCCACCCAGGCAGGACTGTGCTGCCATAAAGCTGGGGGAGCTGTCTCAAGTATCCTGACTCACCTGAAGGTCCAAAACACTGGATCCCACACTTCCCATCCTGCAACTCAAATAAACATTTCCTTAAACTATCCCTGCCTTGTAAACTGGACCCAATCCTAAACCTGATGACACCACCAGGGTCCACTCCTAAGAAGAGATCCACAGAAAACACTGTGAAGTGCTTTCACAGGTTGTCTATTCTCTTTGCTTCCAAGCTGGTGGAGCTGTTTATGAAATGATTACATGCATACCGTAATGCAAAACTCCTTTTCATCTGAACGTGATTGAAATTCATCTAATTGGATCATCTCAGTACCATCCAAGCTACCCAGCAGCACCCTCATACCAGCAGGTACACCAGAACCAACTTCATTTAAAGACCCCCTTTAATGAAAAAAAGCTGTTTGTTTTCACCTTGTTAGCATGTCCGTATGGGTTGTTTTTGTATGTTAGAAAACACATAATGAGCAACATGAGCAGTCAACACCATGGCTGAGCATCTCCACCTACAGAACATCGCTGGCTTCATCAGGCATCAGTGTGACGGCGTTCTGTCCTTCAGACATCGGTCACTTTTCATTAATATTCTTCACACCCTCCAGAGTTCCACAGAGAGCCGCACACGACATTTGTCAGGCACATGTGATTTGAAAATAAAACTAATTAATGAAGCTACTGCTGTTGCTCCATGTGGACATCTGTCCACTTCTCTCTTTGGAGACAATCCTGGTGCAGTCTGATGCTGAAGGTATCTAATAAACTCACAGTAAAGATTCCTAAAAACAGCTGGTAGCATCACACTAACCTGTGACTGTGTGTGTGACACCTGCCACTGGATCTGGACCTAAACTGATCCTGTCTCCATGTTGGAGATAATTTATAATTAGAACTAATTAATGAAGTTACAGGTGCTGCTGTTCCACATGCGCAGAAGCACTCGTGTGGATTCTGCTGCTCTCTGATGCGACAGCTATTTAATAAACTCAGATTAACTCTCTGTGATGTTTTTGGATGAACATTGGTGGTGAATGTGGAAAAAGTCTTCCATTATTCACTTCACACACACTTGAATCACCGCTGCCTGGGCAAACCTATCCATCATGTGACTGGGTGCAGTTCAGCCTTTTGCCATCTTGACGGTGAAATGGAAATGTTATTATCCAACCTGGGAATGACTGCCATCAACCAGGGTGTTCATTTAGACATGAAGCGGACATGTTAAACTGCTGTCAGATTAACGACAAGGAGTGCATGTCTGAAAGCACAGATTCAGACTTCTAGGGTTTCACATGCAACAAACATAAACTGGTTACCAGTTCAGACACGTGTGTAGCTGAATTACTCCAATAGTACAACTTGTCATTACGTAGCTCAGAGTAGCTCTTGAGCAGAGCTGCAGGTGAGCAGGTGTGCTCCAGTTACAGTAAACAGGGAGGAGTGAATGGAGAGAGAAGCAGAGACTTCATCGATCTGCACACTCCAGAAGAAGTGATGGTGGAGAGTTCCATCTGAACCATGTCCAGGCAGGATCTCTTCATGGAAAACAGATGAGTTTTTAGGGGTTGTGTTCTACATTCCAATGAATTGGAAAAGTCTTCCACATTTCTTAGTATTGCAGACCTCCCCACATAGTCAATCACCGTCTATTTTATAGCCGACGAGAACAACAGTAACATGAAGGCAAACAGTTTTTTTAGTACACCACTGAGGGGAATCTGCTCACGCTGAGCTCCTCTGTCCATGTTTACACAGTGCTGTGAATGTGGAGCCTGTGTGCAGGAAGCTGGAGGCCAGCAGGAATCCAAACAAAGAAAGAATTCTGCTCTGTCACTTCTTCTGCTTCTCCTGCTTAGCCCAGTTTGAGGAGTGGAGACAAACACAGAGATGTGGATCCAGTGAGAAAATGCCTGTTTATTAGGTTCTTGTGAGGACTTGTGTACAGGACTGGACCAGCAAGGTTTCAGGAGAGTATGACGGTTTTATAAGCATTCACACACAGGCTGCTAATGTATGCACTGGTAGCTCCCTAACAGCTGCTGCTTTACTGCTCCACACCTTTGACAGCTTTTGCTCTGAGAGGCTGAGGTGGAGCCATATATTTGCCATGTGACTGTTATGCCATCCTGGTTGCAGCAGCCGCTCCACTCCCTCTGTAGGAAATCCCCTCTCGGTCTGCTGCATCAGTTATCCTCAGCTAAGTCCGTATTTACAGAGTTTCTACAATAACACCCATTCAAGACGCCCCAAATAATTCTTATTCCAAACTTTCCAAAGTAATGATAACTCAGACAGGGACAGCCAGAGCAGAGACAGCTGCAGTAACCAGCAAGGTCAGAATTCCACTGGAGGATAGAAGCCTGTTCTGTTTCCTTCCCCATTTCACCTGACAGAGTCGAAGGCACTAAGACCTGCAATTATAGGCTGGACAGGCGGTACAGCTTCTCACAAAGATGGCCAATAACAACCACACACGGTATGAGTGTCTGTCCGTAGAGATAAGGCACGACCACAAACAAGATGACGCAACTCCACACAAACATACACACGATGACATTGCTCGGGCTGGACCCGAACAACTCAATATCCAAATATTCGGTCGTTGTGCTGGTACCCGGAGAGCAATTTTGATATGCGAATATTCGGCCGGCACCCCCCCATAGCATAGGCCTACTGCACATTAAAATACACACAAGAACTCACTGTGTGTGTGCGTGTGTGTGTGTGTGTGTGTGTGTGTGTGTGCGTGTGCGTGTGCGCCTCACCGCTGTGGACAGCCTTGAAGCCAGCGTCATCTCCAGGTTTCCCTTCAGGCCGAGCAGCGCCGGTACCAGGATGAAGATCTCTGTGATGTACTGAAATGCCTCCCAGTGCTGCAGACACCACACAGAAGACACACATTTGTTTTTTCACAGTCTGACCTTCTTCTTACTCCATTATCACTCCACCACTTAGTGGAGCATTCAAACTGCTATTTAAATAAGGCAAAGTCATCATTTGCATTAATGCACGTTGGCCTGTGAACCAAATCCAGCACTGTCCAAAGGCTAGTCTGTCCCTGTTATTAAGAATCCTGGCAGTATAAAGGCTAATGCAGTACGGATCGACCAATATGGGTTGTTTTTTTTGCTGTTGTTTTATATTTCTGGGAAGATGCTGAGACCAGTTTTTGGTAACCAAGACTAATATTTGGAACCGATACACACTAAATGTTATATATTAACAGCATGTAAAAGCAAAGAACCCATCATTCATAACTCGGCCTTCTCACTAGAAAGAATATAAATAATAAATACTTTGCTGAATATAAACATATCTACATTGAAAGCCATATGTCAACAGGATGTGATGCAGCGGAACCTGTACAATGTACATTACACTCATTACATTACCAGTAATTACTCTGTCAAACACAGCGACTGAATAACGGCCACAGCTACAAAAATAAGACCCAAGACGTAATAAAGTGCAATCAGCCGTTAATTCCATCCTGTCGTGAGCACTCAGCTGTGCTGGTTGGTGAACAATAGTCGTGTTGTAGCTCAGCTTACCTGCACAATATCCAGAACCATTCCAGCTGACACAGTTCCAAATCCAGCTAGAAGAAAAGGCAGCAAAATCTGCAGAGCCATAGCGAGCGGTGACTCCTTGGGCATATTCTGATGGTCAGACCCCAGTCCTTCCTCCTCGTCTTCTTCCTCTTCCCCATCTGCCTCCTCTCCTGAGAGCCTCCTTTCAGCCAGCATGGGCTCTGTCTCAGAGTAGCCTCCATCTCCACAGTCAGATAAAGTCAAAGAAGACCGAGAGGCCCGGTCCAGGACCCGTCTGCCTTCTATGTGAGATGTCTCCTGTCTGTAGCCGTTCTGGAGCGAGCCAGCCTCAGGTTTAGCTCCGAGGTCCACCATGGCCAACCGCTCCTCCTGTAGCTTGGTGTAACCGGTCGGGACCATGGTCTGGAACATAGAGGTGATCCGTCCAGAAGAAACAGGTTTCAGAGAGAGAGCGCTCCACCCGCCACCTGCTCCACTCATACGCACCGTCAGGCTAGAGCCAAGGGACTCCCCTATAGCTCCTCCCAGACTCTGGATGCTCATGATGTGGTCTCGTGTTGCTCATCTCCTGTCATCAGGCTGAGGGTGGCGTCAGAGCGGTTCACACAGGCTCAGGTGCACCATCCATGTCCAAAAACTGGGACTAAGGAAAACACAAATAAAGAGAATAAAGAAAAATGCTGGTAGAACAGAAAAACACAGTCTGACGCAATGCCAAGATAAAACAGACATGACGTTGCAAAGGTTTAACCACATTTTGAAAAGAGGAACAAAAACCGAAACGCAGAAGGCCACGGCTCAATGGGCTAAATACGGAGCAGCTGTTTTCTAATGAACTCCAGAGCAGAACCGTGAGAATTCATGCAATTATAAACCAACATGAGTTGTGCAAGTCTGAACCAGAAGTGCACACAGCACAGGCATTGTTGGGCTGGGCGGACGGGCTCGAGCCCTCAGAGCTGTGTTCATGGCCCCTGACATCAAAAAAGAAACACATTTAATCAAGAAAATAGCACCAGATCCATTCATCTATCATTCCTGTCTTACATTAAAGCCTTAAAGTCATTAAAAAAAGATTCCACCCAGTAAGACAGGAGGAGAAAAGAAGAGGAGGACCAGGAAGAGAAGAGGGGCCAGGTGAGGCCACCACGATGAAGACCAGCCTGAATCTGTCTCAGTTCAGAAGGAGGCTTGTCACACAACTGATGAAATAAGGAAAGTCAGGCCTCACAGTCTAACAAAGTGATGGCAGCATATGGTTCAGCATCAGACAGCTTCATCCACGTCACGAGTCCATATTTTAAGGGTTTTACTCCTCCTTGAAACTTTAAAATGGTGCATCTATTGGACACAAATCTGATCCTAATAAGAACAGCAGGAAACAGATTTTCACTTTGATGGAAACCAAACTGGGACAAAAAGCCTCAGAGTGAATAACCAGACAAACCAAAGTCACTTCTGTCTGTGTTTGGTTTCTGTCCACTGACTTCCATCACCTGACACGAAGCACGTCCAGATAGAGAAGGAGCCTTTGGTCTGAGCTGACAGGATGGAGGAGGAACCCAAACAGCTGCTGCTATTGTTGGCATGACAGGTGTTGGTCTGCATGAACCGGTTTATTATTAACGTGTGACAGAAAACTGGACAAACTGGTGATCACAGTTTGTTTAGCTCCTATTTTTACTTCATCATTGCTCAGGCCTTCATGAAACCTGTCACCCTCCGTTTATAACACGTGTGTTTAGTTGCACCACTTCTGTTTTTCACGCCTTCTCACAGCTCAGAGCAGCGCACCGATGAAGCAGCTGGATGGGCAGCAGGCTAGCTGAGGCTGGTGTTGATGTTAGCTAACCAACAGGAGCAGCTAGCTGTGGAGGAGCCCCACAGGAGCAGCAGCTCGGCTCCCTGATGCTGGACGGTTCACAGGAACAGCGCTCACACTTGGTCAGCGAATTAAAACACAGCAAACTACTTCTTTAAGTCTTTACTGTTAAGCATTTTTTCCCCTTCCTTTAAGTTACCTTTGGGCTCCGGAGAGCGTTGATCCAGGAGGAGAGATGAGTCCTGCTGTCAGCGAGCAGCCTCGGAGCCGCGTCACAGCCGAAGGTCGTCTATAACCGCAGATGATCCACTCCGGTAGGAAATAGAGCCGCTGGTCTACAGGGGGATAATTGGCATTTTTAAAAAAGAACATGTAATTCACATAGCTTCATCATTCACCACAGAAGATGTGTTATTTGAGTGGTAACACAACTGAAAATTCTATAATCCATTTTTTTGGTCTCACAAATTTGTTTGAGGAGCAGTCACAGGACCATACCAAAATAAAATGAAAAAAAGAACATCTGTAACTTCATTTTTTAAGAGTTATGTTGCTCTGCATTGGGCAATATTCAGTGCCGCACTCTTCTGAAGTCCAAATGAACATGAAAATCCACTTTTATAGCAATCTTCTATAATCAAATGCAAAACCGGCACCTCCAGTCTATTGCATTTACATTTTAATGCCACCATGCTGCCAAATAAAGCAGAAAACACAATCTAATGTGACTGAAATACAGAATCAAAGCCAGACATACGGGATGTGTCATAAATGGACTCATGGATATTTAATCATAGCCATGGAAATTCACTTTATATTCTTGGTGAGTATGCATGCAGTTTCAGTGTTGAAAATATACCTTAGTAGACGAGGAAAAATTCACATAACTAATCTTTGAATCGGGCACTGGGTGAACTGTCTGAAGGGTTCCGCAGTAACAGAACCCTGCAGAGTGAGACCTCCTCTTGCAGCTATCTGCCTTCCAGCGAGAACAAAAAGTGCCACACAGATATTTTGATTGTACTGCGCAAGCGCAAAGGAAGCCCCACCGGAGTAGTTTGCTGAACGCTCTGTTGGGTTTTCTGATTTATTCTATCAACTGCGGATTTTAAACGATAGCCTGCTTGTTTTGTTTTTAGTGTTCGTAGTCGACGTATGTATTCTTTTTACAGCTGTGGGTTTGTCCGGAACACCAGGGGGCGCTGCACCGAACACAGCCGACGCGTTTGTGTGCTGCTGACCTTTCACCCGGATGTTGGTCTTCAGAGACACACATGTCGCTGAAAACATCTCTAACATGGAATTAAACGCCAAGAAAACCTGTTCCCAGGCTTTGCTGTCATGTGGCAACGGAGGAGGTCTGAACGTTTTCCGTAAAAATTAAAATGTCAGGAGGGTTTTAAATGAAGCTGTTGTGTTTAGCTGTAATATGGTGAGAAGTTAGCGAGCCGTTAGCTAGCCGTTAGCTAGCTCCGAGTTGGTCCGGAGGTATATGAGCCATGTACAGGGACTCCTCCTCGGTGTGTTCGGTTCTTCTGCAGCATCAGTCAAGTGTGTTAACGAAGCAACGTCCTCCAGGGAAGGTTTTCTGTGCTCCAGATCTGAACATGTCAGCTAGCTCAGATGCTATCAGGCCTGAGAAGAACCAATGGCATGTTCATTAATGGTGTCCAAGGAAAGCTGTTCATGTTAGAAACTTCATTTTCAAACTAAGTTGTAAATTACCCTTATTTGCAGCACCTTTAGGGAACATTTTCTGAAGGTTTCTTTCAGGTTATTAATATGGATGTATTCATGCATCATGAAACATCGTGTAAATATTATTTACAAGGTAATGTAAATGATCAAACTGGTGTTCAAACCATTGAAATGTCTCCTGTGTCTCTTTTCTATTACTTATTCATGCTGTGACTCATATGAAAGCTTTATTTTCCCAGTAATGTGTAAGAATGGTCTCATCCGTCTGCCATTTTTCTGTGATTTTCAGTTTTTAGGTCATTTCACACACACCTTCTTTATCCTGCTGTGGGGTTGGCTTGTTTATTTGTAATCAAGGGGACCAGTATTGATCGGCACTGATATGCATATTTAGTAAAAATGGAAATCTTGTTGTGAACATTTAAAATGACAGACTCCAACTCAGCATTTTGTTTATGGATGTTTCACTTCTTTTTTTTAACAGACTGCAGCTAGAAGCAGCTGCACTCGAGCCACAGTAGCACATTTCTGAAATAGTTTATTGGATCTGGAAGCGGTTTTAATGGTTTATTTAAGGCCCTTACTTGTGAGCCCTAATTTGTTCCACTCAGTTATTCAGCAGGCATCAGTCCAAATCCAGTCCTGAGTTCACAGTTCGTGGCTTTGCTCCAAACACACATCTTCATCTCGTTCAGTCTTCTCCACTGTGTAACGGCTCACTAAAGCACACATGTGCAGTGAGTTCTCAAGCCTGCATGTGAATTTGAGCCATCAGAGCATCAAGTGGACTTCCAGCTGCTGTTTGTGTTCGTCTGAGTTAGAAAAATCAGCGCTCACATTACCATCAGGGAGAACTTTACCTCACCACGGGCACATTCATCTGCCCACGCCAGCTAGATTTAGGAGTGCAAAGTGAGCATCTGGAAGTCCTTCAAAAGATTTGTACCCCTCTCAACATTAGCGTAGTCATAAATGTGACTAGACTTAGACTTTACACACAAGGCTTAAATCCTGCCTCCTCTGTCGATGTGCTCTTTTTCTTAACTCTTGTAACACTTTTTGTGTCTGGAGAAGTCCTGCTAATGAATTCTTGTTGGGGTTGTTATTTTAAGGTTTAATGAACTTGTCTCTGTGCTGGTAGGTCTCAGTGAGAAGCTTCTCCTCAAGCCAAAGACTGGAGGTTCCCTGCAGACAGAGAGAGTCCCACGAAGCAGCGGTGAGGCTCCTTGCATCAAGTCTTGTTATTAGTTTGTTCTCAAAGTTCTACTCTAGCAAAAAACACTGGAGCCAGAGGTGTGATCGTATGTGTGTGTGTTTGTTTTTATGTGTGCGTCAGTGCTTGATCGGCTGCAGAGCTTCCTGCCTCAGATGGCCGAGGCCAACGAGAAGCTGAAGCAGCAGATGGACGAGGCTCCCGCCGGACGCTTCGACATAGAGAGTGTGGAGGAGGCGGAGAAGGTCATAGAGATGGTGAGTGTCCGGCTGCAGGTGAATTCAGCTTTTGTCAATCAGCTGACCATATAAAGAGCAAAACTAACTAACATTTACCGTGAGCAGCTTTGCCTTCAATCTACTTGGCAGGTCAGTTGTTCAGAATCTTGAAGAACTCATTCTTTCTGGATTTGGCAGGGCTCCAGACTGCAACCATAATGGTCGCATATGCAATCTTTTCCTGAGAGTGTGCAAGTTAAAATTTCAAGTGGTTGCATTTGTGTGAGTGCATAATTATCATTAGCTGTTATTATGTATTCGCTTTAACAAGCACAGGCAGCTGCTGCGTTAGCCACAGTGGAGGAAAGTCTAACTTTTATTTCCTCCGTGGCTCTGTCAGTCTCTTCCTGCCTGATGCATACAACCGGCTGCTGAGTTGATGTGTGTTCCTCAGCTAAAAGAGAGGCAGATGTCCACCTCAGACACACCTGATGATCAGAGTGCAGGTGTAGGCAGGAAGACACTGAGCCGGTGAGCTAGCCTATTAGAATGGCTAACGCTGTAGTAGCTTCTAACCACTATGTGAAAACAATCGACTGCCATCTTTACATTTAGAAACGCTCATAAAAGGCACAGGGCACTAATGTGCATTGTTTTCTCCACTCAAAACAGCGCATGTAAGTGAAATCACTTGGTTTCATCTTGGACAAATTTAGGACATTTTATTTCGCTCTTTTTAAGCTAACGTTTGCTTAGACAACTATCTGAGCACACCGCAGCCACTAAGAAGCATCTACCACAGCCTGCAATGTGAGGTGTTTAGGGAACATCGGTAAATGTGGTGCCTATTGATAAGCAAATGTGCAGCTAGCGACATGCTTCACCTGTGGCAAGGTGGGAGGAGCCACTAACTGACTATGTTGGTCAAACCAGTGTGACCAGTGAAAGTTAGTCTGGAGGCCTGTTTACGCTGGCACAGTGTCACCTGTCTCTTCATGTATTCCCTGTTGCTGTTCGTGTGATTGAAGATATTTCTCCAGGACTCTGGCTGGATGTTTGGTCTCATTTATACAAGTGTAGACCACAACATCCAGGTGTGCAAAGCCATTTAACGCCTACTCAAGATGTGCATAAGATGTGTACTTTGTGCCTAAAGGGCTTCAAAGTATGGAATTAGAGGCCTGAATACTTACATAAAGTACACCAACATACATTATTCACTATGTATACATGGAAAATATGGCAATTTCATCCATTTACAGTCACATAGACAACACAGTAATGTGTGCAAGACTTCTGTGTATTGATATGGTGTCACCATTCTTCTTTAGTAAAAGGTCGAAGCAGTTCTTCCACCACTGCTGACAGTATATAAGTATGTCTCCACCTGATGAGCTTAACACCATTGCACAGTACAGCACAGTCAAACATTCCAGAGGGCTCCTTTTAGCTGTTTCAGCTCCACTGTTGTATGATTAATTTTACTGAGTCTTGTGATTTTGTTCCTCGTGTCTCCAGGACGTAGCGCTGGTGGAGCTCGACGGGTCAGACAGCGACGAGGAGACATCAGACTCTGAGGAGGAATCGGACTCTGAGGATGACGATTGTGAGATCACAGAGCAGACCCTCAAACTACCCGGAGACAAGAAGAAGAAAGCCAACATCCAGGTTCTGGACCAGCAGACAGGATAGACCAATCAGCTGCACAGACTTCTGGCTGAGTTTCTTTTCCACGTGAGCTGTTGTAGGAAAAAGTGTCTGAGGTGAAGATGGTTTTCAACCCTCTTCATGGACACAGACGGTGAACAAAGAGCTCCTGTGTGGAGACATGCAGACCTTCCTCATCCCTATGGGAGCATCTATGAATATTATTTTGTACACTTTGGGTGCCTTTGGAGACAGAACAGATCCTGTGATTACCTCGTCCAGTCTCTCAGTCTACGTGGTGCCTTTAAGTGTAACACACATTCTTATGTTATCTTGAGGTGCAGACTAGTTGTGCACAGTTGTAATAAGTATGTGTGATTAGGTGTATGGAAACCAAAGCCTGCTACTCCTGGTTTAATTCATTCTGGATGAGCTGAAGCTGGAGTGTCGGCTACCTTTAATCCTAAAAAACATCTTTTCTTTAAATTGTCATAATTGCCCATGTTGTCACAAACTGTGGCTGAGTTACTTTTCAAGGTGAACTGCTTTTATATATTTTTATAGAGAGGTCGATGATGGTAACCTCCATAAGCTGCCAGACCAACTCATGCCGCACAAAGCAGCACCTCTGAATGTACTGAACGGAGCAGAGGAACGCCGTGTTGTTTTGTGTTAACTGGAATCAGAGTTTGCGGTCTTCCTCTTCTTCTTCTTATCTGTTGTTACATTTTAATCAATATTACCACCTACCAGGGAGTATTTTCTCCCAGTGAGAACTAGCGTCTGCTCTGTGGATTATCCAGAGCAACTGGAATATTGTCTCAAGAAGAAAGACATTCTGGCAACTTGTTGGTGAGAAGCAGCTTCATTACTAAATCCTCTGATCCTTTTCTAAGCTTGGACGTCTGTTGCTGTTGTTGTTGAATGCTGTAAATAAAGATTTTATCAGGGGCAGATGCTCAAATCAGACAGCAGTACATCTCTATTTGTCTTTCCACTCATTACTTTATATGGGCTGAAAGCTCCAGTGTAAGGACCAACTACAGAAACACGTGGAAGAAAAGGCGAGTTGAACGAACGGTGGCTGAACTACAAAGTGAGTGATGCTTGAAGCTGTTGTACACAAAGTATGAACTGCCTTCCTTTGGTCACTAAGTTTCAGAGCCAATACGTTTTGAGTTTCAGAAGAACTACAGTGCTGTTTATAGCTTGATTTCCATAATTTCTGTTCGTATCCTGGGCTTTGGCACATTTCCTTTTTCTTCTTTAGCACTTTCCCATCATCTCTGTTCAGTTTTCTTAAAAAATGTTGTGGAGGCAGCTGGAAAAAAAAACAAACATTTCAATTGGTTCTCACTCCTGCTGGATCTAAGGAAAGATATTGCAAGTTTTACATCCTAGCAGCAGATCTGCAGCATCACACGTCACAACGGAAAATAACGTTTCCTCAACACACTGACGCTCCTGATTGACTGTTTATTGAGGGGACAGCTCTCGTCCTTTCCATGAAGAGAGAGAGACAGAACACTTCCTTCGTAGCCCTTGCTGCCTTCACTGACAATGTGGGACAAATAGAAAACTACTTTCACTACTCAGTCACATTAGTGATGCATTAAAAACATGTGGCTGGTGCATCTCTAATGGATACAGTATCGTGTTAGAACATGTACTCCTCTGTCTGACAATACAAGGTCAAAAATATATCAAATAGTCCCTCTTTTGTTAAAAAAATATTTACAAGGGAAGAGAATGTCTACAGTGAGGATGTTTGAACACACAACTGCAAGCACATGATGTAAACAACCAGAGCGTGTGTGATGGAGATGAAATTTTAAAAAAGGCTCAGTGACAATTCAATAACAGCGATAGATGCATTTGTATGTCCACGCCTCTTTAGAGTGGCACCAAAAATAAGACTTCATCCTTCACATCCTGACCCAATGTTCAGACTAGAAATAAACCATTAGCAGAATACTGAAACGTGATGGAGGCAGTTTATTAATCACAGCTCTTTTCCCTTTTCGGGCAGTGATGCCATTAAGACCAGTGAGTGTTTTAAAACACTCCTTCTTGGAGTGTTCATAGATGCTCTGACGTCTGGTGTTTTGTGAGAAACTACATCTGAGTTATTCACAACTTTCTCGTGACACAGCTTGTGATGCGATTCTATGAAGCAACAGAATTTTAAATGCTGGATGTTTACGAATAATTAGAAATAAATATATATATATTATCCTAAAACTAAAATCCTAAAATGTAAAGTGATCACATCTTACCTGGATCAAGTTTCAAGTCTCTGAAAGATGGTTTTAAATAGTGTAAAAGCTTCCTGCAAAGCTGGAAATCAACCCAGAAATACGGTTCTGTACCAGCTTCCATTCACTGTAGTGGAGTCAGACCTCAGTAAGACTATGAAGGAAAAGCAATGTGACCAAGTATTAAACCTGAACAGTGTTTTCTGTCTGGTCTCGCTCCGCTGCAGGGATGTTAAACGTACTCCAGCGTGTCGGTGACATCACCGGTGGGTGTGTCTACAGCTGCAGCAAAGCACTCTGGGTGTGATCAGGAGTGCAGAAAAGTGAACAACCAGTTTTTAAATGAGCAAAACTGCTTTTCAAAGCTCAAGGTCAACTCAGTGTTTTTTCCTGATCGTTTGACCAATGATCTGCTGAGAGAAAGCTCCGTGTGAATATATGAAGTGCATCTCGGACTGGGATGAGTCCATCTCATTCTTTTAACGTGTAGATTCAAACTTAAACTAATCCCATATTTCCATCGTGGTTCAGCCGCTAAGACCTGTGTGAGCACTTGATGGTCCAAAACTCAACCCAAAAAACATTCAGCAGGGGTCGTCACGGGTCCAAAAGTTTGTACCCAAACTCCAAGATTGTACTACCAAGACCTGAACCAGACCCGTCTATCATTTGACAGCTGGAGCCCAGACTCATGAGCAATGACGGACCTGAACGACCCGATCAGCACTGATGTCACAGCTCAGACTGCTATTCAGAGGTTTAATTTACTGGTTGCCAAAGTAAAACTGTGTCCTCCCTAAGTTGACCGAGGGAGCCGTCTTCCTGTGACTTTCCAGGACAGGAGTTAGAACACATCCAGCTTTTGAAAACAGGAATTTGCAGATAGTGAAAGGGAAGGACAAAGATGGCTGACATTAGTGGCCCATGGCAGGATCAGACCTGCAGCCTGCATCACGACGGCTGGATCTTCTGGAACCCACTCTAGCATGACCCATAATGCTAAATCAAGCTGGAACCCGCAGTAATAGAACAGAACCCACCTGACCATATAGTAAAATGTGGTTCTGTTGGTTGTCAGGTCACAGTGAGCCCATGGAGACCTGCAGCATTCATACACACCCTCCATCATAAAAACATTCACATACAGATCAGCTCATCTAAGAACTCTCAAACAAAGAGGTATTAAAGGAATGGTGAAGGCAGCGTCACAAGTGAACAATGGACAGAATCAATGAAGACGGTTGACAGCAATGAACGAACAGCTTGAATATACAGTCAGAAGCAGCTCAGCTCCCATCAGGCAAAGCGGCGTCCGACTCAGGGGTGTGATGTGTGTAGTGTGTGTATCCAGGTCTGTAAAAAGACCCACAGGTCCCTGTTCCAAGATTGATGTGATTCTCACACAGAAAGCAAAGCAAAGACAGGCACGTTGTCCAACCTGTGGCCAAACGAACGTCTGCGCTCTCCCGGCTCTTGTGCAGCTCTCATACCCGCACAGAGCCACACACTGTCCAGAAGAACGCTGAATGAAGCTGGAGGTGTGACCCACGCAGATCGACTAGTCCCTCTCCTACACAGATGTGGGTCAGAGTTTGTCAGGAGAGTCGGAGCCTCAGTACTCCACAGTCACTGCTTTGGTCTTGAGGTATTCCATGAGGGCGTCCTCTCCTGTGGACGAGACACACAAGATGTTCTGTCACACCCTGCTTGCAAAACAGATGCAGTCATTCTCCATGCACTCTCGCTCACATGTTTTGGCTCTGCCCAGCTCTAGACACATTTTGGAGGGAAATTTTTAAGTCTCTCAGTGAGAGTTCTGCTCTCTCTATCAACCCCAATCTACTCATGGCTAATATTTGGCGTGAGACCCGACGGTATCGCTCTTAGTAATAGCATGTATGACTTTATTGCGTTCACGACTCTACTTGCGAGGCGACTGATTCTTCTTAAATGGAAGCACCCGTCCCCACTCTCACATAGCAGATGGATTTAGGACGTACTGCTGTACATTAAATTGGAAAAGATCAAATTTACGCTGAGTGGGTCCTTGAAGAAATTTCACAAGACATGGACTCCCTTTTTAGTCTACGATGACAGACTACCAGTAGTGAACTGGGATGAGCATTGATGCAAACTGGGCTTGGTACATACTCACACAGGACTGGGCTTTTCTCCCGCCCTTCTCTTTCTCTTCTGATCTTTCCCCCTCCTCTCTTCTCTCCTCTCTTAATTAATTAATTTAATTTTTTTCTCTTCCTTCTGGGTGTGTTATCTGTTTTCTTGTTTCTTTGCTTGTCTGGCCAGGATACTTGCCATTATCTTGATTTATGTGAACAGAACTTTTGCTGCCTCACAGGCAATGACTGAGACCTAACCAGTATTCTGAAGGTTTCTGTGTATCGTGGGTCCATCGGTCCCGGTTCGGTGTGGCTTTGCCCCTTCACATCAGAATGACTGGGACGTTCATATGTGACTCTGCTCACATATCAGGCCACCTGCGTAGCTTTGTCCCCGTTACATTGTCATTCTTGTTCATTTTATTGAAGCCATAACGGTAATACACTCTGTGTATTTATTTACTTATTTTATTTTTATTCTCCCTTTTCTCATATTTATTTTTTATTTCTCTGTACAGCTGTGCAGCTGTGGGGCGGGTGGGAAACGGGTTGGAGGTTATAACTGGCATACTCGATGAGGTTGATTTTGATGTTTCTATATTACCCTGTAAACTGCCAAAATGTTAATAAAAAGATTTATATATAAAAATAAAATGTTTTGTCACTGTAGAACACTGCAAAAAATTGCACACATTAACATCAGGTGGTAGATCGGATTGTCCTCTAGTCACAAAAGTGGTGGTTTGATCTCCTCCACAGTGGAAGTGTCCTTGGGCAAGACACTGAACCTGAAGTTGCTCCTAATGGCAGGCAGCTCCTTGCATGGCAGCTCTGTCACCGTTGGTGTATGAATGTGTGTGTGAATGGGTGAATGAGAAACACACTGTAAAGCGCCTTGAGTAGCACTGAGGTAGAAAACACTATATAAGTGCAGTCCATTGACCATCATGAAATGAAAAGAAGACATGAATTAAGCTGTAGCATATTGCTGCATTACTTGTCAGATCTGACAGATTTTTGAGGCCCCAAAGTCATGAATTTATCCAGAATTTCAAAAAGCCACACATAATATGTGGGAATAAAAATATGGAGCCACTCCCTTTACCTAACTATGGAGTCGCTGCTTTCAGAATCAGAATCAGAAATACTTTATTGATCCCTGAGTAGAAACAGCTGCTCACATTCAAAGTCTAAATAAAGATAAACAAAAGTAGAAAAAAATGTTCTAACATATAAGTAGCTGATTTATAATGTATGATTTATGATGTAGCTGATTTGTGAAGCTCCTTCAGTGCCACAAAAACTTGAAGTTGCTCTCTGGTCACTGACTAAACCCTGAACACTCACTTCTGTGGACATACAGGGTTTGCCATGAAAAGAAGCCCTTCTGCTTGAGTGGCTTAGATGTAACTCCACAACATTGCTTCCTAGAATGCACAGATCTCTGCCTCTCTCCCCTCCCTGCAGCTCGAGCACACCAGCTCTCCTTCACCTCTGTTTACACACTGTAAAACTACTCTGCACTGCACAATGGCAAGGTGTCATATTGTCATAATTCAGCTCTGCGTGGCATTTTTTAAATTATTCCAGTATTTCAAAAACCCATACATAATTTGGGGTAACAGAAAAAAGGAGCTATGAGAATATCTGGACCCAAATGTGAAGCCACTGCCTTCATAAAGACTTTATGGGTTCCTCAAGAGGAGAAATAAAGAAATGAATCAACTGTTTTCAGTGCTCACAACTAGAGAAGTGACTTTATGGATAAAACCAGCGAGCACTGCTTCATCTCACTGACAGCACAAACGTTCATTCAAGTCAGAACATGACCCAGTGTCTCTGTCAGTAACATATCTACAACATCTGTAAAACACCTTTAAAACAAACACCAATAAAATCCCAGGGGTCTACTCACCGAGGTCTTTGCCGAAGCCTGACTGCTTGAAGCCCCCAAAAGGTGAGGCCACGTCGGTCTTGTTGTAGGTGTTCACGAACACGGTTCCAGCCTCCAGCCGCTCGCTCACATACATGGCCTTGTTGATGTCGCGGGTGAAGACGCCTGAGGCCAGGCCGTACTCTGTGTCGTTGGCTCTCTGCAGCACACCGTCCACGTCACTAGGAGGTTAGGAGCAGAAGGACAGAGGCAGGATGTGGGACGCTGCAAAGCAACTCCAGTCACATGGCAGCATGACAGCAGGACGCTCTGTGGACTCACCCATTGCTGAATTTGGACACCACCATGACAGGACCGAAGGACTCCTCTTTGGCGATGAACATGTGATCCTCCACGTCGGTGAACACAGTGGGCTCCATGAAGAAGCCTGAAGGAAACGTTTGGAATGCTGACTGGCTAATAACAGGCTAACAGTTCTAAATACTGAAATCTCCACTGAAAAAATAGGTTAAAGCAGCTCCTTTGTGTTAAATGCTAAAATGATAAACTGACAGTCAATATATGATATACTGTAGACGTATTATTTATCATTTGCAATTCTGAGCTCAACCAGGCCTTTAGCATGTAGCTGATAACAAATACGAGAAAATATCACCTTTGTAGTTTAAAACACAAGAAGCACAAACACAAATAGTCTTTAGCTAAATGAGAACCTGTTCTCTGCTGCTAACAGAGCCAAGCTGAGGATTTGTGAAGTAGTTGTTTTTTGCCAATGCAAAATGAATAATCTGACAGATTTCTGTACTAAAGAAAGAACCTTCAGATAAAACCTCAAACTAGCTGGTAGTGAAAAGTATTTCTGACTCGATGATTGAACCGATAAGAAAATACAAGTGACCCATCTGCACGAAATCAGTCGCATTGTGTCTGACCGTATTTGACGGCGATATGGACCAATCTAAGTAATAAACCCAAAATCAGTACTTTATTATGTGTTAACGTAATTCAGGCTGTATTGTATTGTACTGATGTCGTGTAGATGGGTCACATATAGACTATCTGGTAACGTGAATGAGCTCCAGATGCTGCCTGTCGGCGGCGTGTCTCCTACCTGGCCTGTCCACCTGCTTGCCTCCATACACCAGCGTGGCTCCCTCCTTCAGTCCGATCTCACAGTACTCCAGCAGCTTGTCCAGATGGGCTTTGTGGTTCTGTGGGCCGTGGTCTGTGGAGCGATCCAGAGGGTCTCCGATCTTCATCTTCTTGAGCTCCTCAACCTTACAGGAGAAAGACAAAGAAACCAGAATCATTGGTGGGTTCAAACCTATGAGCCTCAGGTTATTTTCAGGGTAATCTTAAGCTCTTGTCTTGGTCAGTGTGAGGACTTGTTTCTTTCAGAACATTCTAGGTTTTCCAGACTTTCCATCATTTGATGTGATAAAACTTGCAGATTTTTTCATATGAGCCTTGAAATCAAAGAAAGATCCTGTCATGTTTCTACATGTATCTCACCATCAAATATCTTTTCATAATTATCTTCTGATCACAGCTTTTAAAGCATTGAATTTAAAGCAAATCCATCATTTTATTCATTTCATGTTTCCTACCAAGTGGCGGTGTGGGCTCTGTGATGGAGAAAAGGCAGAAAGCACTTCAAACCACACTGCTCTTTGGAGCACAAAGAAACTGTGTTGAAGGAAGAGTAATGTGTAGGGATGGATGCAGCAGTGTAAGCAGGCTCTAATTTATGAATAAATCTAATGTAAATAAAAACTATTTCTCACAGACAAGCAACTAAAACTGTTGGGACGGTTATGTCATACGGCTTTATTTGATCTGCGCTACACCTGACAGTAATAAATACTCAGAGAGTAATTCAACCAAGAAGAAATTATGTACATGTGGGTACAAAGTGTGTCCATTAGGATGTTTGTTTTTTTGTGTGTTTCAACTGACACTGTCAAACTGCATTATGGGTAGTGTAGGAGGTAGGGCTTGCAGCTTGACCCAGTGCACTAAACAGAAGTACCCCTTTAATGACCAGTATGCACCGTGTGAGTCGATGGCGGCGTTGACGTTCTGACTCACCACTCGGCTGATGAACTCATCGTGTATCGACTCCTCCACAAACAGACGTCCAGCAGCGATGCAGTTCTCCCCCTTGTTGAAGTACACGGAGCTCATGCCCTGTCAGCAACACACACACACACACACACACACACACACACACACACACACACACACACACACAGTCACCTTGTATTTACTGCTGTTGTTTCTTTGCTGTCAGTTATTGTCAGAATGCATTAAATGATAAGTTTATTTCTTAAAATCATAATGTGGCCTGGGTAATACTCTGGTAGTCCCGTATACATGCACCGATGTGACTAATCCTGAAGCCAGTCCTGGACTTGTGCTCTCTCACCATGCGAACAGCCTTGTCCATGTCACAGTCGCTGAAGATGATGAGAGGCGACTTCCCCCCCAGCTCCAGAGAAACCTTCTTCAGGTTACTGACCGCACAGCTGCAGGAGGAACCACGGACAGAGCATGAAGTACCATGCAGCAGATGTCTGAATCAGTAACCGCAGAGCTCATCAGGTCTTACCTCTTCATGATCTGCTTGCCAATAGGTGTGGAGCCGGTGAAGCCCAGCTTGCGGATGTCTGGGTGGTCAGACAGACGCTGTCCCACCATGCCACCTACAGGAGACCAGGGAAGGCCATGCGGTCAGTAACAGACACCAGCACTACGACACAAGCCTCATGTCTTGTGAGTCACTATCGATAGAAACTGCAGAGAATCAGCCTTTAAAATGAGCATCTTCAGTTTCACAGATCCATCAGCTTCAGCACATATTGACTGAATGTTTGTGCAACGGTTCCCAACCTCATGGTCAGAAACTCCCCAGAGGTGGAGAGCTGATGACAAGACTAAGAAACAAGAAAACCTGAGCAATGTAAACACACTTTACAGCAATACCTGTGTGAGCCTTTATAAATGATTTAAATTAAACACAAATAAAAGGATAAATCACTCTTTAACTGAACTGCACACAGTCTACAGCAGGGGTGCCCAATCCTGGTCCTCGAGAGCCCCTATCCAGCATGTTTTAGATGTGTCCCTCTTCCAACACACCTGATTCAAACAATCAGCTCATCATCAAGCTCTGCAGAAGCCTGATAACGATCCTGATCATGTGAATCAGGTGTGTTGGAAGAAGGAAACATCTAAAACATGCTGGATAGGGGCTCTCAAGGACCAGGATTGGGCACCCCTGGTCTACAGGTATAGAACCTTTCACGAGGGTCTGCAGGAAGATTTTTGTTTTTGTTGGGAACCAGTGGGATAGATGTTCAGATTCTCTTGGTACTTTGGTTTCATTTGCAAAAGCAACAGTCACAAGTGCAATGGAAAAGAAAAGGGGACTTTAGATTCTGTGTTTGTGTTCATTACCAGAGCCTGGCAGAATGTTGATGACTCCTTTTGGGATGCCGGCTTTCACTGAGAGTTCAGCAAACTTCAGTGCAGTCAGAGGAGTGACCTGTGGACATCAGCAACAACAACTTCAACAAAAACCGGGCAGGCTCAGCATCTGTCTGACTGGATGTAATCAAACTAGACACTGGATGAGCTGTATGTGGCACTTCATGCATAAATCAGCTGAAAGACTGGATACCCTCCAGTGTTCATATTGTGTTTATGTGAAAACTACATTCTCACACTTAAGCAGGGAAGTATTCAGGTGAGGAAATATGGCTGAAAAGAATATTTCAGTACTTTATCTGAGGCACAAACGGTTTTCACCTGCGCGGGTTTGAGGACCAGAGTGTTTCCAGCTGCCAGGCAGGCTGCACTCTTCCACGCCAGCATCATGAGAGGGTAGTTCCATGGGATGACGATGGCACACACACTGTCACAGGAAAAACACACTCAGTAAAACACACCGACTGAACGTAAATGTAAACATATTTAACATAACTGCTCATTAACACAGATGTGGACAAGCGTCTGTTAACGGGTTCAGATAATTTGTTCAGTCCAATCTTAGAGGCAGAAGGTCAGCACAGTGCTTTACCCCAGAGGCTCTTTCTTAGTGAAGGTCAGGTTGCGGTTGGGCCTGGCTTGGTTGATGGGGATCGTCTTTCCCTGCAGAAAACAAGAAGCAACAGAATGTACCTGTTAGCCCCTCTCAGACATGGGACATTGCTGGTGTAACCAACCCGTTAAAGTGTTAAAGTTTCCGTTAATGTTCCTCATGGCCTCATTCATTGACACTCCCCAGAGCGTTGGAGAGCACCACGGTAAGAATGTGAAATGTGTCATTCATCAATATACCCAGTGATGTATGGTACGTCATAATGCAACAACAGACTAAATCTGAACTAACAGCAGCTGAGCGACGTGTCCAGATTACTAACAGCCTGGTTAAACTGTCAAACTGACACTTGAGGACAAAACCTGAGTATGACCCAAACCTGCAGCTGATAAACTGTGACTGTGTGACAGCTCACCTGTCTGAGGTGAGCAAAAGTTCCCAGTGTGACCTGCTGTTAGAGTCTGATTGATCCTGTCTCCACATGAGGGGTGATTTATAATTAAAACTAATTAATGAAGTTATTACTGTTGCTCTCTCTCTTTAACACCTAATGCTGCTGTGTGATGCTGCAGGTTTCTAATAAACTTCTAACAACATAATGACGTCACCACACTGTTCCTCTGTGTGCTAATGCATAACTCTCTCTGTAGGGACACACATATGGATCCTGCTGCTGTTTGCAGGTATTTAATAAACTCAGAGCTAATAGGAAACAACTGTAGAGCGAAATGAGTGAGAAAGGCGTGTTGTAATTGTGGCATATAAACTGTGTATTTAGCACTCTGTGTGACGTTTTTGGACAAATATTGATACTAAAATGTGGAAAAATCTCACTTCACACAGCTCGAGGTCTCACTGCTCGTGTGTTCTTATCCATTAATGTTGCTGTAAGATTGCCGGCTTCACTGTTATTGGTGACCAGCATGTACATTCATGAAGCCAACACATTCAGTTGCTGTCAGATCAGCAGAACAGAGCGCATGTCTGACATGCTTCATAGTCTGTGGTGAATTTCTATAAAGCCTCTCTTTGTGTCCAAATAGAAGAGAAGACGTGTTCAGCATTAACCTACCTGGATTTTGTCGCACCAGCCAGCAAAGTAGCGGAAGGTCTGGATGGACATGCCAACATGTGTCTTGAGGGCCAGCGTGTACACAGCTCCTGAGTCGATGGACTCGATGGTGGCCAGCTCCTCCTGGTGTTCCTCCATCAGGTCTGCAAGCCTGAAGGGAGCAGGTAAGAGGGAAGAGAGTGTAATGGTGATTTAAGTCTCTATGGTTGTGGTTAATACACATATCAGCTACTTGCTTGTATCTCACAGGACTGAGCTGACTGTGTTCTGTACATCTGAACAAGGTGACAAAACCCCAGAAGGGTCAAAGGTTTGGTCTCATCTACACGTTGACGATGTAATGCAGCATTTATTAGTGAACTAATATTACAGCTGACACAGTACAACATCATCCCTCAAGTTTTTAGTGACATTTTGATGAATGACATGAAGCTGTGTAGAGAAAGTTGCCTGGACTTGTACAGATTTGGTAGAGCGAGATCAGATCGAGCTGTAAAGGCCTTTCAGACTGTAGCTGTTCCGCTGGTGGACAAACTTGAGTCAAAAAACTGTGTAGAAAAGAAGAGCAGCCACCGTGACGTCCCTCTTTGATTGGTGAACGATAGTTTTGAAGGATCAAGTGTGGAATTCAGCATCGCCACCATCAGTAGCCTCTCCTGAAGTCTTTTCCTAAAGCATATCTGCATCTGAGAGCTTTGAGTTTTATTTCCTTTAAACTGTCTTTTATTTCTTTTAGTAATAGTTTAGCTCTTCTAACATGGTGCTACATTTATCTGTGTGCTGCAGCTTCGTCCTGGTCGACTCGCTGCTTGTTTCTAGCCTCAGAGAACTTCTTATCATGTAAAGCCACTGTAATCCTCTAGGGGGAGCTACTGACTTGTAAAGCAGACTCCCTCTGTCTCTGGGGTTCATCCTGCCCCAGGGCCCAACTTCATAAGCTTCTTTGGCAGCAGCCACCGCCCGGTCCACATCCCCTACTGAGGCGTAGGACACCTTACAGATCACCTGGGTGGAGGACATGAGGGTCACACACGGTCCAAACATCCATCACAGCAGTCTTTGAAAGTTTCAGTCTGTGTGTATACGTGGTGTCATGTGACTCACCGATCCATCAGTAGGGTTGATCGTATCGTACGTTTTGCCGTTTTCTGCATCCTCAAAGCTGCCGTTGATAAAGCACTGATACGGCATTTTCACTGTCATGTTGTTCACATCTTTGGTTGCCTGGAAACAAAAAATAACAATTAGGAGAAAGGATCTCAACTCAACACTTTTCTGACATTTCCTTGGTGGTCAGACTCACATAGTCCACGACCAGCTCCTCCTCCTGGTCCTCCCCTCTCAGTTTGCGGACAAACATCTGGATGAAGTCCTGGAAAGTGGTGGCCATGTACACGTCCTCGTTCTGCAGCTGGACGCCAGCACACTTCTGCTTCACCTCCTCCACCAGCCTGCACACACAAACAACAACTCCTGTCAGCACCCACAGCTGCAGTGCTCTCTCTTCTGCTCAGCTTCTCAATAATTGGTTGTATTGGTCAGATGGCTTTTAGCTCTCTTTCACATGCTGCTTTTTGTCTAGTCTTTGGGTTGTTGTTTCTGTTTAGTGAAGTCACTTTGATGCCAAGAATCCAAATGAACAACTAAGGGTGGGCCAAGCACAGCAAGGGCCTTCAAATGTTCTCCAGTTTAAACTAAGAGTTTGTGCAAGTTTCAGGTTTAATTTGAAGTAAATACTTGATATCAGCTAATCACCTGTGATTTACGCTGTGCAGTTTGTATTATTTAAATATAAATTCTAAACTTTTATTGTTTTTGGCTTATTGGAAGTGTTTTGTTGCATACTGTTAAGTCAAATCAAGTTTATTTTATTTCAGTAGCACAACATTACAATTTTGTCTCAGCAAGCTTTACATCTCTACAACACCTTCTGTTTTATGACCCTCAAACTGCCTCTAGAAGTACTTTAAAGGGAATAAAAGGAAGAAAGCTCTGGTGCTCCACAGCCGCTGTCAGCTCAGCTTACTGTGTGTTTACTGCTGGCCACTAATTAAAGCATCAACACTCGCTGTCACACTTGGATACAATAATTGAATTTTAAAATCTCATACGAAATCCTTCCAACCAAAGAAATGCATTAAATTGTTTTGTCAAGAGAATTCTGCTCATCTTATACATTTGTCAGTAAACATTAATGAACATATCGACGCTCTGAGACTTTTACTCAGAGATGTGGGTTTTATCCTCGCCTACTAGCTGAGACTGCCACTTGTCTGACTACTTGATTGGTTTCGTAAAATCAAGATGTGTTTCCATCTCTGGTCCACAAGAACAGCTGAAGGAACCAGTAGGTGCACTCCCTGCTTCCCTCACCTGACCACGTCCATGGAGGCAGCTCCAGACTTGAAGAAGTCTGTGGTGTCCTCAACGGCTGGGACGTTGCTGAGGATGCCTTTCCAGATGTTCTGTAATTTAAAAAACAAGGCTGACTTTCTTGTTTGAAGCCATTTACAGTCAGAAGTCAAGCACTAGGCCAGAAATGAATCAGCTGACAGCAGTTTACTTGCCCTGATCTCCTCTGCCATCTTCTTCTCATCATCAGTCAGCTCCACGCTGGAGCTTTCTCCAGAGGAGAAGTATTTGGAAGCAGGAATCATCTTCCCATCTTCAAACTGCAGGTTCTTTACCAGCAGCTGCAGATCAGACAAACAGTATACTGATCAAACACAGGAACCAGAGGACATGCTGACACACGCTATGTTTGAGTTAGCCAGCTGAGTTCAAATGACCCAGCAGTGGGAAAAGCGACAGCATCTGGAGTTCAGCATGATGGCAGCCCATAAAGGCACGGCTGCACTTGTTCAACTCTGCCCCTGTTTGCTCTGGATGTTTGCCTTGCAGTGCAGCAGGCTACAGTGACACTCACAGCTTTGCCATCAGTTCCATACAGGACAAGTCCGTTCTTGGTGACGATGCCGGGCTGGGCAGCCCCCTCAATCTCCAGCGGTTGACCGGCTGCTACCGACCCCCCCAACATGGACGAGCCATAAAAGGTGACAGACTGAGGAAGACACAGAGAAGCAGTTAAACAC